CGGGCGAAGCACGAGAGTGCCCTGAAGCGGGCGGAGGACTACGTGTACAGTCGGCTGTCGGTGAGCGGCAACCCCTACGAGATTGCCATCATCGCCCAGGCGCTCAGTCTGGCCGAGTCGGCGCACGCCGACTACGCCTTCAAGAAGCTGAAGTCGCTGGCGAAGCGGGACGGCCCCGATGGCCTCATTCACTGGCCGGGAAAGGCTGAGCCGGTGGTGGTGAAGAAGCCTTCAACAACCTCGAATGAAACCTCAACTCCCGCTCCCTCACCGGTGCCCCCCACCCTGGAGCGCATCCGCTTCGTCTCCGACTACCTGAGCATGCCCGACCCGCTGGAGGTGGAGGCCACCGCCTACGCCCTCCTCACGCTGGTCCAGCGCTCGGACACTGACACGGCTATTCCAACGCTTCGCTGGCTCGTCTCCAAGCAGAACTCCAACGGCGGCTTCAGCTCCACGCAGGACACCGTCATTGGGCTGCAGGCGCTGGGAGCGATCGCCCAGGCCATCTCCACCTCGACGCTGAAGATGGCCGTCGCCATTAAGGAGGGTGGAAGTGGGGATAAGGAGGGAAAAGATGAAGGAGCTGGCTCTCAACAGCAGCAGCAACCTCTCTCCTTCAACTTCCACCCGGAGAATGCCCTCGTCCTGCAGCAGATTGAGCTGAAGCCAACGACGCAGTGGGTGGAGGTGACGGCCACCGGCTTCGGGGCGGCCATTCTCCAGGTCTCCTACCAGTACAACATTGCCGTCAGCGCCGAGCGACCCGCTTTCTTCCTCAGTCCGCAGAAGGACAAGACCAGCACGGAGAACTACCTCCANTGCAGCAGATTGAGCTGAAGCCAACGACGCAGTGGGTGGAGGTGACGGCCACCGGCTTCGGGGCGGCCATTCTCCAGGTCTCCTACCAGTACAACATTGCCGTCAGCGCCGAGCGACCCGCTTTCTTCCTCAGTCCGCAGAAGGACAAGACCAGCACGGAGAACTACCTCCAGCTGAGCATCTGCACCTAGTGAGTACTAGTACTAGTTTGAGAGATTTTTCAGCTCTAACATTTTTTTTCTTTCAGCTACAAGGACGGCAACTCTACGAACATGGCGGTGATGGAGGTGGAGCTGCCCAGCGGCTACAACGCCGACGTGGACGCCCTGCCGGCGGCCACCCGGGCAAAGGAGGTGAAGCGGGTGGACACTGCCAACAATGACGGCACCGTCTTTGTCTACTTTGACCGGGTACTAGGGTTTTAGGGTGTTGATAAAAGTGTTCCTCCTATTTAACTCTCTCTCTCTCTCTCTCTCTCTCTCTCTCTCTCTCTCTCTCTCTCTCTNTCTCTCTCTCTCTCTCTCTCTTTCCCGCTTAGGTAACCCGCGACGAGCTGTGCATCACCGTGCCGGCCCACCGGACGCACCGCGTGGCCAACAACAAGCCGGTGCCGGTCACCATCTACGACTACTACGACCGCAGCAAACTGTCGCGCATCTTCTACGAGCCGACGCTGGTCACGGTAAATGACGTGGCGGAGGCAGAGGTGGTGGCAGAGGCCTCAACTTCGGGTTCTTCCGCCTCTCTTACAACTTCTACTCCCACTTCTGCTCCTTCCACTTTCACTTCCACTTCCACTTCCACTACGGAAGCTCCCATTTCACCCTAATCTTTTCTGTTCTGTTCAATGTGTGCTTCTCCGGTCTTTTCTGGTCCTTGTTTTGTTTCTCCTCCTTTTCTCCCCCTCTACCGGTGAACTTCTGAGTTCCTTTTCCTAAAACCTTCAACTATTTGAAGATGTTTGCACTAGTAAATATCTTCCTCTTCTTCATTCATTTTCTACTTCTCCTCTATTCTCAATAAATACTCTTCCACTTCTTTTATCTTTACTCTTTTCTTCTCTTCAACTATTCTGCAAATCGTTTCTATTTCAGCTTTAAGTCGCTTTCCTCCTCTTCACTCTGCCTGTGTCTTCATTGTTCCAATTCGCCTTCAAACTTTCACAACTTTTCAAAATCTCTCTAACCATTGCTCCCTTTCTCCTCACACAGTTCTGCGACATCTGCCCGAAGAACGAGGTGGACTGTCGAGCTCGCTGTGCCCAGCAGCAGCCTCGAAGAGCGGCAGAAGGAGATGATGAAGGTCGACGCATTGACCTGGAACGCCTTCGAAGGGACCCGAACGGAGCGGCGGCCCTGATCAGCAGCACTGGAAGCAGTCATCACCTGCTCACCATCCTTCTCCTGCTGCTGCCCTCATCGCTGGTTCTACTAACCTTTAACTCACACTTTCTATAAAGAGAGCGAGAGAGGACGATTTGTAAATAGAAGAAGAAGAAGATTTGCACAATGTTTTTCATAACCTCACAGCAGATTTTCCTGTACATTTCTTGAACAGCCGCAGCAGCAGTTTTTCTGTCTTTCTCCTCATCGCATCATCTCACCGCTAATTCTGGTCATTCATCATCTCTTTCCTTCTCTGTTGTAACATAACTAAAAATAAAACGAGTAAAAAGTTATGCGCACTTTACTGTCGTTTGCAGATTGCTATTAACTGCTGATTATACAATTTGGATCGGTTGAAAAACCGTAAAAAAAATATTTGGAAATTAGATATGAAAAAACACTGCACATTACACTCTGCTGCTCTACTCGTCCTTCACCAGATCTCGCATGGCAGACATCAGCGTCTTTGACTGCATACTGCCAAAAAGTTCATTTTCAAAGAGCGCCTTCAGAATGTCCATTGAGGTGGCTTTGCTGGCGATGAACTTCATGGCGTTGGCCTTGAGTACTGCGGCGTTGTACATGTCGGCGATCATCAGCAAGTTGAACATCGACTCGGTAGTCATCATTGCGCTGAGCTCATTTTCAGCAATCATTTTTAGTGAATCAAGTTGGTACTTGTCAGCGATAGTCAGCACTTCAATCGCCTTCATTTCGTCAGTGAACTCGGGAAGCTTCGATGTGTAGAGGTACTCGAGCAGTTCGGTGAACATGTCGGCGTCGATGTCCTCGATCGGCACACTTTTAGTGGTCTTCTCTTCAAAGTCTTGCGTAAACATCGCTTTTAAGTAAGGTGCGCGAGAGTACAAGATGCACTTGTGAACAGGAAACTTTCGCTCGCCGATAGTAAACTCAAAGTCGGAGAACTCGCCACTTTGGAGCAATTTTCCCAGATCATCCAGTACTTGCACCTTGTCATCCAGTTTTCGGATTGGGCGAGCAATGGTCAGCTTTTCGGAAATTGTTTCCAACTCCAGAGTAAACTGAAAAGAGAGAATATTGTAAGCTTTGAACTTTAACTTTTTGTACTGAACGTTTTTACCTCGCAACAAAAAGTGAGGGCATTTTCTGACAGCAGTCCGGTATCAGGATTGCATATATTTTCGCGGCTTTCAATACAAATATCTTTTTGTCCATTTTTACTAATAAAGAAGTCAGAATCTGAAAAACGATTAGACATTACAAAAAACGGCAAAGTTTACTACATACCTTGACTTTTCCAGATGTCCCCACTCTTGGTCAGCAGCCAGCTTGACGTTTTACACTTAACCGCGGTAGATGATTTCAAAATTAGAGTGGCAATGAACTCATGTAAATTAGGAATGTTTTCAGCATTTGTGTTAACACTGAGGTAGAAAAGCGGTTCTCGACGGCCCGGTGGAGCAAACTCTTTAGTGACGAAAGCTTCATTTCGAGTTGTGAACTTATCAAATGAGCACTCATACTCAAAACGGACCGTTTCGGTGCTGTAGTTGACGAAAATCTTGGAGGCATTGTTGTTTGCCATTTTGTTGGAGAAAAATGGAGAGGTGTGACGATCTTGAAGTTGAGACGAAAATTTGAGAGATCAATCAGCAGAACAAACAAAAAGCAAGTGTCGGTTTTTCTCAATGGCTGCTCAGCGTATTTTTTCACTGCTGACTCAATTGCAGCGTGCGCGCTTTGTTCAGTTTGAAAAAGCGCGAAAATTTCGCTTTCACTGCCGAAAAAAAGAAAGGAACTCTAAAAATGTTTGCCTCTTGTGCTCATGAGGGCCTTAGTCACCACCAGTTGCCTTTCACATACTAGCTAACCAATTAGCCAAGCTGAAACTCTCTCACACACACAGTTTTTTCTTCAAAGTAATCTGCCAAACGAAAACTCTTCTTCTAAGAACACACAATAAATAGTCACAGTCGACTAATGGTCTCTCAATCTTATTCAAGGACATGAGGGCAGCCTGGCAACTGCGATCAGAGCGGAAAACTTGCCATTTGGCACGTTCTCTTTACCCTCTCAACAAGTGATAATTTTGTTCATTTATTTCACTTGCTTGACATTGTTCTTTAGTGCTTCATTTGAAGTCATAATAAAAGTAACCTTTACACTTTGACACAAAAAAAAATATAAAAGTCAATGTCACTGGCTAAATTGCACTGATTTGTTGTCACTTTTCCCATTGGTCATTGGAGATTATCACGTAGAAGGAGGGAGTATGAAAAAAACTTCAGATTCCAGAGTTCGATTTCAAAATCGACTCTTAATTTTCTTATCTCTACAATGAACTTCTTTCATCGGTCAAAAAATGGTAAATCAGAGTGCAGATTACTTCGTCTTCTAAAACAGCATAATCTTCGGTCACCACCGCCACCACAAACCCATTAGCCTCGATTATCTTCTTCTTGATTATTTCGAAATCGATGAAGAAGAGGAAAAATCTCAAAGTCTGAAATGGTGCAGTCGTTAAAATAGCATCAGCGGCCAGTGTGCAGTCCAGTGTGCAAATAGATGCTGAAAAAAAGTTTTGTTTTGATTTTGCTTTCTGATCAGCAGAAAAGCAAAAGTTGATGTTGCCTTGGAGTTTGTAGAAGCAGGCCAATAACCAACAATCAAATCAAATCAACTAAAAGTGATGTAATCACAGTGCACAATGCTCAAACGCATCACCGGCATCCTCGGCAGCGGCAGCAGCCCCAGTGCCAACAACATCCGAGCTGGACTGTTTTTCCAGTGCAATACCTCCGCCGCCTCCGTACAGTGTCGTCATCTTCAGAGCTGCTGCTCCAGGACCACTACCTCCACAACTTCCAATGGAAATCATCATCATCACCACCACCAACATCAGAACTTGGATCAGCAGAGAAGGAGGTGGCTGTCGAACCAGGCGAAGATCTACCGCTGGAACGACGTCCTCTTCGGCTCCTCCTTCAACGAGATCGTCCGACCCGAGTCGGTGCACTTTGACATGAGCCAGTACAATGTAAGCTTTGGGCGTGTTTCTATTTCTATTTCACAGATCAACCCTTAATCTCTACCTCTCTCTAAATCTGCCAGCTCTTTCGCGAGAAGAACTTCATCAAGTCCTTCGACAAGGGCTTCTTCAGTCTGATGCCCTTCGTGGTGCGTTCCTACGAGCGGCTGATCCGCCTGCTCGACCACGAGCTGCACGCCGTCGGCTGCCAGAAGATCATGATGCCCGCCCTGGTAGGGAAGCACCTCTGGGTGAAGAGTGAACGATGGGAGACTTCCGGCGAGGAGGTCTTTCGCGTCCGCGACCGCCACCAAAATGAGTACTGCCTGGCGCCGGTAAGAGACATCCAAAGGATAACCTTTTTGTTGCCGTTCTAAATCCCTTTCCCACTTTTTT